GCGTGGGGGGGAAGGGCAGGCACTTCCGGTCTGGGCCCCCCCTCACCCCCTCTCCCTCCAGAGCCCTCCCGCGCAGGTGCAGAGCGAGGGAGAGCGGGAGAGGGACACGCAACGCGCACAAGATGCCTCGAGCCCCGCGTGCAGGGACGCGCTGACCGAGCCCACTTCCAGGGCAGGGACCCCGCGGTGAGAGAGGCCCCGGGAGGGGGCACGCAGCCCCCCGCCACAGGCGACATACCGAGCACCCCAATACAGTCTGCGAGGGCCGGGAAGGGAAGGTCAGGACATTCAGACCGGGCCCCAAGGCCGAGAGACAACCCTCCCCCAAGAACCCCAGGCGGAGGGGTGCACACACCTCCCCTCCCTGGGACACACGGGGGAGGAGTGAGGGCGCACAGGCCACAGGCCACAGGGGGGCCGGACCCCCAGCTCCTGCGGGATGCAAGACGCACACACGGGACGGGGACAGGCCGCCACAGAAAGGGTCAGGCAGGGCAGGGCAGGCAGGAGGCTCGGACACACCACACACACCCCGCAGCGCATTCCAGGGGCACAGGAAGTGGAGAAGGGGGGGGGAGGGGAAGTTCTGGACAGGACAGTTGAGGGCCAGAGGGACCACCCCCATCGGGCAGGTGGAGCCAGCGGCCCCCGGACCAAGGCCAAGGAGAGGCCCAGGGAGACAGTGATGGAGACAAGAAGCAGAGGCTGACGGGAGCCTGGGGGAGGGGAGGACCTCCATACTCACCCGGTGCCCAGAGCCGGACACGTGCCAGGCGAAGACGCACAACGGTCAAGCGCCTCTGACACTTGGGGCGCAGGGTGGCAACCCAGCCCCACCCTGTCTCCCCACATTGTCATTCCTCCTCCTCCCCACCCCACCCCATCCCCACTGGCAGGACACAGACACGGAGGTTTGGACACATTTAATGGGAGGATGCTACGAACAAGGAGACCCTTCCCTGATGGGGGGGAGGGGTGGGGGAGAGGCAGGGGAGGGTGT